AAAAAAAAAAACACCTTGCTTCTAATTGCTATTGATGCAATGTTTGTTTTAGTAGAATCTAAAATCCTATTCTAAAGATATTTTACACTTAGTTTTTTAGACTATTATGTTATAAGGTCTGCTCTATTATATTACACATATCCTAGTGCTGTTGAAAATGGAGATAGAAGACAAAATGGTATTTAAAACTAATTTCCTTAGTAAAGTTTTTTTTTTTTTAAATGATAGTTACTTAGCCGTGTGTTAATTTTTTTTTTTTTAATTATTTCTACAGATGAATCTGCTCCCCAGTCATCACCAGTTGGCCGGTGGCGTTTCTGTATCAATCAAACAATAAGGAATCGTGAGGCTCAGTCTCCTCCTCTTCAGCATTCTCTGTCTACAGTTCCTGGACTCCATACACTTTCTAGTAAGTTCTAATTTTCTGGCGGCTATATCCAGACTTGGAAGAATAGGAATGTAAAATATATTCCATATATTTCACTTATTTTCCTGAGTGCTTTCTGCTTTTGAGAAATTTTGAAAACATTAATATTAAGGTTTGACTTAAACCGTTTTAAAGTTAATACTCATTTTTTAAAAAAAGCATTTTTTTCCTTGACAGATTGAATTCTCTGTATTTTGAGTCTCATTTATAAGAGTAATTTCATATAGTTCTTATTTGCCTTTTTTTCCTTCCTATCTCTTAAGTTATGATACTAGTCCATGCTTTGAATTTATTAATACATGCTTAACCATTCTTTTTATCAGGTCCAAGAAGCACAAGCAATAAGGAAATATCACAGGACACACTGTCCACTGTAGAAAATAATCCATGCCAGAGTGCACTTTTCACCTTCAAATCAGAACACAAGGATTTAGTTGATGGTAAGATTTCTGAATATGCTAGTGTAGAAACTGAAAAGCCAGCTATACTTTATCAAGTGGAAGATGACAGGCATATAATGACACAAGTTACTAGTAGCTCCAATTATACTACTACTTCAGTTCATGCCGTTCCAGTTGAATGTGAGGGATTCACCAGCCAAGCATGCGTATTGCTACCTGTGTATCCGTATCATCAAGCTGCCAGTCAGGTTGATGTACTTACAGCCCATCCCGGAGAGCCAACTAAGATTGCTGATAACTCTCTTACAACTCCAACATTTATATTTGATCAAAAGCCTCAGTTGGTACCAATGCAGCAGCCAACTCTGGATGCAGAATTTTTTTCACAAGAAGGAGAAACCACAGTGAACACTGAAGAAAGTACCGCTAAAATAGTCATTCCTACTCAGACCCTAGGCCTTGAACCAACTACCCTTCTACCCACTACTGTCCTGGAATCAGATGGGGAAAGACCTCCAAAAATGGAATTTGCAGACAACCGAATTAAAACCCTGGATGAAAAATTAAGAAACTTGCTCTATCAGGAGCACAGCATATCTAGCATCTATCCTGAGAGTCAGAAGGATACTCAAAGCATAGACTCTCCATTTTCTTCCTCTGCTGAAGATACACTCTCCTTTTCAGTGGCAGAAGTCATAGCCATCAGTCACTGTGGAATTCAAGATAGTTCTGCACAATCCCCTAATTTTCATGAGACAGGCTCTAAGATCCTGTCCAGTATGGCTGTGAGTCAGCCTGCTAACATATCAGTGTTCAAAAAGGACCTGAATGTGATAACATCTGTACCCAGCGAATTGTATTTGCATGTAAGTACCATTCTTTCTAGCCAATTCCTTATCCTTTACTTATGCTTTTAAAGATACGCCTTTACTCAAACTATCATTTGAAATGCACTTGTCTGCCACAAAATTCTGAGGTTACAGGTATTTAAAGAAGGCCATGACTTAGCCTGCAGGTGCCCGTAATTGCTCAGTATAGATGCAGAACAAACTATGGTAAAAGAGCCCTCTGGTAAATTAGCTAAGAACTTGCAAGCAATATCTGTTTGTAGAGTATTAATGACAGGAAAGAAACTGATTTATAGATTGTTTTAAAAGAAAGAATTTACTTTTAGATTTCCATTTAAATGCCTGTTACCAGTTTTCTTTTTTTAAAATTTAATATAACATCTTTTTATTTTATACCTTGTTTAAGGCGTGTGCTGAGGACATATACAAGGATAGATAATGACATGTCCTTGATTCCAGAATACATAGTTAAGTAGAATAGATGACATTCACAAATAACTGCATAGGATATAGAAATATTCAAAGAGAAGTATAAATGTACAAGAATTATGTATCACTTCTAATTGGATGAGAGATTTTTATTAGACAGAAATGGCAGGTTAAAGAGTATTATAGGACACCTTCATAAATCTTTAGCTCCATTAATTAAGGCATGCTAAATGTACTTATTTAAACAATATTGTGTTTTAAGTAAAAGTTTACACAGTGATTTAGGACCATTTAACAATTTCTACACAAACTGTTCAGTGACATTGATTATATTCTTCACAATGTGTGAGCATTCTCTTTCTTTCTTTCCATTCTGGGGTTTTGTTTGCATTAATCTAGTTTTTATGACCCCATGCCTTCTCATTTTTGTTTCAAAGTAGTTGTTGATCGTTTGATCTCATTAAAAAAACGAAACCAACTTCACTGCCATCTAGACGATTCTGACTCATAGCGCCCTTCCTTGGGTTTCCAAGGCAGTGTCTCTATGGAATTAGATTGCCCAGTCTTCCTTGATCTCATATAGATGGCTTTTTAAGGTAGGACAGTATTTATGGGTGATAATCTTTATGTTGTGACTCTCTGGAGGTGTTTTGGTTCAAGGTTTAAAGAGTATGTCAGAGTAATAGTCTTAGGTAGTCCTCCAGTCTCAACCAGTCTAGTAAGTCTGAATTTTTATAAACATTGAGGTTCTGTTCCACATTTTTCTCCCATTCTATCTGCCAGGTATCATGGCCTTGATCAGAATGATTGGTAGTGGTAGCCAGACACTATCTAGTTTTTCTGTTCTCAGAGTAGATGAAGCCGTAGTTCTTGTAGACTATTTCTCCTGTAGAGTAGTTTCTTTGAGTGCCAGACACTACTTACCAAACTAGGATGTAGAACATTAGCTTTATGTACTATGTCTTATACCATTTGATCAAATTAGCCCGTGAGACTATGGTCCTAAGCCTTCAAACTCAGAAAACCAATCCCACAAAATGTTTGGTTATGTCTAAGAAGTATGGATAACATTGCCCCTATGTGTTTTATTATATATATGAGTATATGTGCATACATACACATATATACTTATACATACGTACACACACATATATATACATAGACCCATATATACACATATAGACAGTCCCCTGATTACAAATGAGTGCCATCCCTAAGTCTGTCTTTTTTTATTTTTAATTGTGATTTGGGTGAAAATTTATGGAGCAAATTCACTTTCCATACAGCAGTTCACATA